AAAAGCTTCTATCTCAGATACAAACGGTTCAAAAGGGCTTTCTTAGAAGAATCGCCTGGCCCACGCATTTCGACATGGTCCGAAGTACAGAAATCTAACAGAACCTTCGTGTACATTTGGTGCTTCTTCAGACCAAGAAGTCACATCTGCAATGGATTGGGTACATCTTGCGAATGGTTCCAGAAAGGAAACAGCTACTACTTGCCCATTCGACCGGCCAAAGACCTCGGAGACGGCTAAGAATAATTTTCGGTAGGTGCATGGAAAGACACTCCTTCGGACTCCAGTTATCTTCTGCTCAAATGCTGGCGCAGTATAAGAAAGGTTGGAGACTCCTTCTGACGCGCATACCTTCGCGATCCCGAAAGGATAAACTGTCATCGAAACTGAATGACAGACAAAGGAAATCAACGCCTGGGACACTCAGACTGCAAATTATGTACAACGACACGGTGCTACTGCTCCGCGTTTCCTATGCAGGAATAAATACATTAACGTGCGCTAGACTTCAGCACACCCTGGAATGGCAATGACCATGCCTCTCGTATCTGTGAACGTAGAGACTCATCATAGAAACTTCACCGGTAATGGATGACGGTAATCAGTCAGCAACGAGTTACAAAGTCATCGAGTTGCGCAGACTACAGATGCCGCTAGACGGTGAACGATTTGCATCTTACTAATAAAAGAAATACGCAAGATGGCCCGACACAGAATAAGAAAATCCTTTCGTTGCAGATCAGGGAAAAATACTGGGTCGATACAGGTAATCAGCGATAATACGCAGCCAAAGACGAAGAGAGGAATAATTTTACTTGAAGGTGGTAGTGAGAGTTTCAACAGTTATATGAGGTTGATACATCATTTGCGCACTCTGATCAGACCTGTCTGGACGGTCGCTGAGGTGAGCCCCAAGCATTAACAGCCTGAGCGTTTGGGATGAGTTGATTCTCAACGGTTGTTACTTGTTTGGCTGCTGACGACAAATGTTTTGACCTTTTGACCTTCATGACACAGACTTTTCACTTCAAATTGCCTGCTACTGTTAAATGGAACATCAGGTCTACATAAACCGCTTTATGCTGTAGCTCAGTATAGCTACAATGCTAGAATAATATACCTAATCCAGTGTGAAAAGTAAAATTTAATAATAATTACCAACCTTCCTAGCACGTAACTAAGCATCTTAATGCCGAATATATGGAGGAGGAGAAGGAAATAACTGTGAAGCCAGCTTACTTTAACGGTCACCCAATCGGAACCGCGCTCGCTGATGCCATATGCGAGGAGTTCTCCGTCGTGAGAAAAAGAAAGTGCGGTCAGCGCCACTGTTCCATCGTCAGATAACGTGTTTGGGTCCAAGAACACTTTGCCGTCGTCCTGCAAGCTTTCTTTCATGTAGAGCACACTGAAATTCAAAGCATTTTAATAAGTGAGTCAATGTTCAGAAAAATCTGTCGGTATTACTGTTGGTTCTGCAAACCGGAGTTGTATTTGTAGAAATAGCGCGAGCCGTGTTTTCGCATGTTGCTGAATTTCTCGTAGTTCCACAGTTCGGTCAGTCTGAAGCATCGACGCAGCGATCACCAACGTAAATGATTCAGAAAAAAATAAAAGGAAAGAACTTTTCGCCTATCTTTTCTCTCGCAGGGCATGTCTGAAGAAACGGCGTGCTAACGGCATTCAGCTTCGACACGTACTCCTTGGTTTCGTCGCTGTCTGGGTCTTCCAACCAACGGTACGGGTCGGCCAACTAAAAATGGACGATTTAAACGGACGTAAAATCTTTCAATGGTGCCGCTGTTTGACACTCTCTGAAAATGCAGGAAGAGAAAAAGTTCGAAGGAAAGTTGGTAACCCTTGAGGTGCCAGGCACGTTTACACTTCCGTGATTCGGCGTTGTGTGTGGCACATTGCCTTTCATACAGTG